GGTTCAGTGCACCCCTAGGTAGGTCCCAACGTCCATACGAACAGCTGCATATCAGCAGAGGGCGCTATATTGTCACCATGTCGCACACTGGGTTCTGCCACTTTGAAAAGCAAGATAAAACGAGGGCCACAGAAGTCCACTCGTAGACTAAACAAGCCTCGTTAGAGGCGCTTAAGGCTTTTTGGCACTCACTCTTTCTTGATAGATCAAGGTGTTTTCCCTTTCTCTCTCCCTAAATACTTCTGGATTGAGGGGGGAAGGACCACTATTAACTGTTAATACATGTATTAAAAATCACATTGCAAAGGGTGAGATGTTAGTTAACCCTCCGCATGAATAATACGGAGTTTTTATTCAAAACTGGCTAAACTTATAATCAAAGTTTCAAAAAAATTTAACTTGAATTGCAATAAATGGTTAGGGAGAACATTTGTGCAAAACTGCAATGAGCATAGTTCTTGGCATTGGTAGGGATCGATATTACCTGCCTCGGACATCTAGAATGCCTATTTATTACGTGTAAATTGGATTGCATACCGATAATATTTATCCCTTACCCGAAAAGCATTATTATTAAAGTCCAAGGAAGTCTGACTCTCTAAAAAAAAAATACCTCTCATCAAAATGTATTTCTTACTGATCAACATTTACTCACTCTAATGCTTCGGTAAGTTGTCCACATTAAAAGCTGAAATTTGACAATTTATTTTAATTTCTGTTCAGACGAATTTCATATAAAATCCAATATTTGACGGGTGTCCACATCTTCTAAAGCAATCAGATTAATAAACATGATAAACTGTTTTGTTTATCCGGCTCGTAAGTGTGACGTCACAGCAGTTTAAACCACGCCCATTGCACATGCACTGCACATAGAGTGATCGCCGTTTACATGGAGCCATGGAACCGGAAGTTAACGCGCAACGTCAGCGCTCGACTAATGGGAGCCTGCAAATCGTGGCGCGTCCGCCTTTGTGACGAAGTCACTTACAAACTGCATAGAAACACGCGGATAGAAATTTACCTTACAGGACAATTTCGCATCATATTTGGTGCGCGGCATTCGCAGTTGTCGTGGCAACCAATACGTAGAGATTTGAAGTAAACTGAGATTAAACATCAGCAACATCTTTTCTTTAAACTGAACTCACCGAGTTTTAGTAAAATGAATTAGGGAATTAAAGAAATGTCCAGTCTGTTTTTCCCGTTTAAAACAATTTTGTCCAAATCGAGGAATTAAGGCAACGAGAGGTAATACTTGATACTCGATACACTCGGCGAGATGTTTCATTCGACGAAGCACACAGCAACATTTTCCCTCCCCACAATCTGGGCTTGTTAAAACGAGTGCATCAACCCACCTACTGTAAGTGAGCCTTTAGTCGGTGGTGACTGAACAATGCCGGGTTCCAGAAATATTCAGAAGGCAATTTGCATTTTAATTTATGCCTGTCTTCGAAAATTAGTGATGAGATAGAGACAGCACCCTCTCTCAGGAAAAAAATGAGTAGACGGACAGAACGTCACTACGAGCCCGACAACAAAGGTATAAAGACCGGATTGTATAGGAAACGGTTTACAATGGTAATATGGTCCATCCGTGGGAATCATATTATGCAACAATAACAATCATAATGACCGGCTGTGCAAGGTATGCCAAAAAAATGATGGATTGATGGCGGAAAATACACTTGACATTGACACTGTAATGGCGGCATCATTGACAACAGGCTTTCAAAAAGCTCGATAAATAACCCCTTCCACTTGGCATCATCAAAATCACACATCTCTGACGTTTGATAAAAACGAATCGGACAAACCGTGGGTTATAAATTCATGAGTGACTGCCAATGCATTCGAGAATTTTGTTTCAATATTCGACCGTATGAATTCTAGACCAGTTTTCTCCCCATACACTCAGTGAAAATGTCAGTTCCAAAAAAATCGAATTCATCTTGAAACTATAGTCTTTTTCAAACAGAAGTATTCTCAGTTCCTTCCTGATCATCCCACAATGGATGGAATTTTGTATTAACAAGGGAAACATGAATTCAAGACCGTTTATGTTTGGAGCACCTTGACTGGACAAAACGGACCCCTCTTATACAATCACTATCGTCCACACCCACATATAAATCGGCTCCGGAGTTGAGTGGTCTAAAAATAGATCATCCTCTGTCTATATTTGGCTCCTCCAAGCCGTGGTGAGGCGCGGATCCTCTTGTGTAAATTCAACGGGCGGGCTAAAAATATGCCTACGCTAAAAATAGGTGCACGACTGAACTAGCACTTGGCAAGTGTAGATGTTATGTGGAAATCTATGCAAATCACTTTGACCCAGGCCTCGCGCGGCGGCTGCCGTGCGTAGTGCATGCTACGAGCGCTCGGCGATAATACGATGCGAGAACGCTGTCGATGCCTAGCTATCAGTATCAGGCTGTGGCGTTAATAGATGTCTTACCCTTCGTATGGCTGAACATGTTAACGTTGGAAAGAGAAATTATGTAGACATTGTAATCGTATGCCTTAATTTAAGCACGGCAAATTTTCCGGGTTTGGGTGAGGCATAGAATAATATGAAGGCAAGTGATGTCTTGAAAAGGGGGAGGGGCCGTCTGACAAGATCCTAGCTCCTGAGATATTTACGATGCTTATTTTTCCAGTTAAATCACAGGGTGTCCAATCAAGCCTTCACCTTAAAAAACTTATTAAGGTAATTATATTTATTTAAAAAAAGAAAGATTGGAGAGGTATGACGTTCGTGGGATGGTAATTAGTTGAGCATGCGCACTCCACTGAACAGAGGGTTTGTGTTCGTGTACGTGTATCTGGTTCATCTCCCGAAAAGTCAGTTTTGGATGAAACCATTAATGATGGCAGAAATGTATCTTGAGCGATTTTGTTTGTTTGTTTGTTTGTTTGTTTAATTGTCTGTTTGTTTGTTTGTTTGTTTGTTTTTTACACTTCTTTTACTGGATAGTTACCGGGGAAGAGCTGTTCTAAGTGGGGCCAACGCACAATAACCATTGTCAGTTAAACTTAATTTTTATCATACGTTTGTTAAATTCTCTCCAATATAACTATCCCCCCATCATCCATAACCACGCCCCTAAAGGGGATATATTCGAGACGTAAGAGTGGAACATCTAAAAATTGTACGTACGGGCTGAAGAAAGAAAACCTTGCCTTATGTGCAAGTTCTGTTTTCTAGTCACTTTTGTATCTGTATTTACAAAGAAACTAATCTCCGTTATTATGTGTGTCCGTCCGTCCTCCACGGTGACTGTGTGTCTGTCGGTCGATGACAGGTGATCCAGCTCTTTCATTTCCAATTCCTCGATGCATGCTATAAGGTAAGTTCCATACACAGTCAACTAGAACTTTTTATAAGCCATCCAACTGAAAAGAGGGGGGGGGTCATAGAAACGTTCAAGAAACCGCAGAGATGTTTTATGGATGCCAACTATATATTATCTGAGAAAGAAAACTACATATATTAATTGAAGAAAATTCTAACTTTTAAACTATTGCTTTCATTTTCTGAGGAATATTGCTCAACACGATATAAGTAGCAACTTCGGATCGATATTAGTTTGAGGAACTTCACTCGCCAAAATGAAAATTAAAACAAAAACATTATCATAAACAACCGCGACCTCCCCTCCCTGGTATATATGTCTGACGTAACTCGCAGGTTCCCGACAGCACACGCAACCAATTCAATAACGTGGAGTTTTCTACGGCTGAGTCCAAATCGCATGGCTACGGCTGGTACTAACACACAAGTTTAGGGAAATGGCCACGGCCGCTATCTAGAGGCTTTCATAGAGTAATGTGTTTCACGTAGACATAGCCGACTAACTCTGGCACGGCCTCACATCCAGTGAGCGCGTATAGTACCAGGCTAGGAGACGGGTTTCCTTGCCAAATCGGAGTGGGCACCGCACCCTGAATGTTACGGCCATTACTGGAAATAGTAAAAATTACTGATCGAGAGGTAAACCTTCTAATAAAGAACGATTCTGGACGGAAATCGACTAAAGGAGGTACCCGGAGTGAACAGCACCATTTAGGGGGTAAGTACTGGTCCTTCCAAGATAAAAACATTACACGTGAGGGTCGTTTTGAGGCTGAAAGGGACGAGATAACGAGCCAGTTGCCCGTCACCGGGCGAAGCGATGAGCGGTTTTAGGCGGTGCCTTGGTACGGAAAATAATAATCACTGTTCATGTTGACCATCAAATCTTGACGGCGAGCTGTAATTTCGTTTTATTGTCCTTGCAGACTACCCATATTAATCGTTCACCACATGTTCTAATACAACACCTAGATATTTCATTGAGGTCGGGTGAGGTGGACATGTGCATAAATTCTGAAGAACATCTGTAAAGCTGAAGTTGATAGGGAGCCGTCTTGAGCTTGGTCCGGTTAACCTACATGGTGAATGCGGAAGCCATTTTGATTTCGGCTCTGTCTTGCTTGTGCACGATTGAAATTCTATTTCCCTGTTGAATATTTCCGACTCATTTTCACAGTAATGATGAACTCACATAAAAATACATAAAAAGTATGAAAATGTCGTTTACATTTATTTTGAAATAATTTTCGGTGTTCTAAACAATTTTCTCAGCTGAGTTTTTTCACCCAGAATTTTCCATTTACAACACACACCGTGACACACGATCTACCGACTATCCATATGAATTACTATTGTGTTAATATTATATTTAGTATTGAATAAAACAAATCATTTAATTGAAAGAATTTGTGTACAGTTGTACAAATTGATAGTGCATACCAATGTGACTTATCTTTGAATTGCTTTTTTCCCATCAGTTAAACTATTGCTCAGACAACTTCCTCAAAAGCAGATAAAAAACTAATGCTAAAATTCTTGTGAAAAAATTAAACAACAGGTCATGTGGGAAGTAGTAAACAGTCATGACAGATGTGATATTTCTGTCATTTTTTAGAGAATTTGTTGAAAAACAAGCTCGAGCATGTTGAGTTAACATAAACATGATAAATTTATTCCCAAAACTGGTTTTTCACATGATATTTTTGAAACACTGACTCGCGGTACAGTCATGCAATAAAGAGTTATTCGTGTACATGCGTGATCAACCATGGCTTAACAGAAGCTAAATTTTGGAGGGACGTCAGTTAAAATGAATAACATCATAAATTTGTGTGGAGATTTATGGGATTTCTACTGGAAGAGAGACTTTTTCACCTGTGCTCAGAAAAGAAAAGAAAATTCGTAGGACCAGGAAATGGAGAATCTGTATAACATACACGTGTGATCAGTAGTCTACACAGCATCTTCTGCAAGGATATTGGAGTCACTAGATTAGGTGACATGCTTAACTGTGAAGGCGCTTTTTTAGATTGTAAGACAGTGAAACATCATTTGTTCATATGCTGTTCAGATGTTACTCTTGATATTCAGAGATTGTAGTCCACAGTTTGAAGTATTTCAAAAGATGAGCCTTTTTCCTTTCTTTTTATGAAGTGTTCAATTTTAAGCTTGGTGAAATCTCCTCATCGCATTACCAAAGATGTTCGACTGATTATCACACATCAATGGCCAATGCACTCCAGTCATCGTCGTTCACCGCGTGACGATTCCAACAACACATGTAACTTTTTTCTCGGTGAATTTTATTTCTGAACAGGTTGGTTTGTCTGGATTATCAGAGTGAAGACTGAGTTTTTTTACAGCCATTGTTGAAGTGTTTTCCATGTTTCACAGTTAATAAAGTAAATGACAACCTTTCATTCTACCATGCTGGCTTTGTTTGTGTTCATTGTGTTCACTTAAGCCATCAGGGAGGAATTATTAAGCAATGATGGATCTGTATTGATTCAATAATAGGAGTGCCGTATAATCTTGTTGCAGTTTCGGTCCAGCTAAAATTTGGCACCTGTGCTAAGCATTAAAAGCTTTATGGCACTTTGAGCCCCGAGCTACATGTAAACCAAGACAGGGCACAATTTTCTGAGGCTCCTTTGGTAGGAACTGCAGGTCACTGGTTCACAAGTGCTATGAAATGCATGCGTTATGATCGTTGCCAACAAAATGAGCACTCCGGACCAACATGGCTATTTTCAACTGATGAGGGGAGGGGATGCTTCTGCTCATGCCGGTTAATGATAATGGTGTCATTGAAAAGTGTAGTAACAAGTCATGATGATACAGCGCATCACCAGTGGGTAATGTGCATAGGTGATGTTTTGCAGTGCATTGTGGGTAGAGCCAATGTTCTTGCACCAGATTTTATTTCATTTGCCTAAGAACTTGGTGGACTTTCCTTTTTTTGGATGCCCACCAGGCAGGTGGATTTTCTTTTCCTGGGACAAGCTTGCACACATTCCTAATTTATGTACAATATTTGCAGTACCTCAGAACAATAAACGGATTGTCCACTACAGGAAAGTGCAGGAGGATGTCTGCAAAATTTGAGCTGAGCACTTGGGGGCATGCCATATTGTAGTCTTGGCCCACAACTTGATTTGGATTTTCATCCTCCAAACTAGTACATGGATTTCTGGCCAGAGTAAAAAAGCCATGTACTTTGATCATGCATGGAAAAACTTGAGTTATTACATGATGGAGTTTATGTAGGTGGCGTCTTTATTTGTGTAATCTGCGCCTTTAAGCTGATTTACACGAATTCTTAGGCTGGGAATTGCTTGGGTAGGCCTGCCAAATTGCTGAGGCTAGACTTTAGCTTCTTAATAGCATCCTTTGTTGTGGTAGGGTTTATTAGTCCTGTGTGCAAGGGAAAAAAGTTTCAAATCCAGTCTTGGGCCAAGACTAACGTGAGATGGTCGGGCTTGTCAGAAAACAAATGCTGTTGAGTCTCGCCCAGTAAATTTAAAAGCGTGGCTTGCAGTTGCTGTGATAGTTGTATCACTGTTTGTATTGCTGCAGTCCATACCTGGTTAATGGTTGGCAGTTACCCAGACAGATTCATAAGCTCTTGCCAAGCAGTCATTATTTGAGCTCCCCAAGGCAAACGTTTGTTGCCATGTTGTCAACAAACGTGCCCTTGCTGTATCCCAATAAGATCACTGCACTGTAAATTTCCAGTCACTGGCTCCATCGCCTACCCACTACCGGTGGGCGTGGACCGTCAGTTGCACACTGAAACAACACAAAGTATGAGCCTCACATGCCAAGTCCTCACAACCTAATGGCCATGCCGCTTGAGATGGAGTGTAAGCATGCGCATGTAGCAACTCCAGCTTTGGCAATGTCACTGCTCGAAAACATTGGAGTTCTTTTGGGGTATAGGGTTGGCATAGGGATGAGGCAATTCAAATAATTCACTATTCGAATGTTCGACCTTCAATTTGATTGAATATCCGAATATTCACTCACACCGACCCGCAGATTGTTGATGAACAATCCATATACAAAATCAGTTGTAATAACGCACACAGTTGTACATTATAATCGGTAAAATACTAGGAGTATCTAGGAGTATCTTCAGTCACGATTTAGCAAGATTGAAGAGATGAACAAGACTTCTTGCCCTGTTGAAAATGTCTTTTCCTTTTAAATTGTTTAATAAGCAAGTTACTTTCTAACACTTTTCATTTAAATCTGCTTGAAACAAGCCTGCATGGTGCAATTTTTTTTTCATTTAAAACAAAAGAAAATTTTGCCTTTTTAATGAATTTTGCATTCAAATATTCAAATTTCAAAAAAAGGATTTGAATATTCGGCAATCAATCGAATATTTGGTAATTCGGATATTCGGCACAGCCCTAGGTTGGCAGGGGTCAGGACAGACAGGGTCAACTCGTTCGGGTGAGGACACATTTTGACTGCTTATTTCTTTGAGATCACATCGGTGAGTTTGATCCAAGGTCAGCCTGAAAGGCCGTCATCTGCTTTGCATTTGATGCAAGATGAGCAATAACCGATAGCCTTTGAACTGGATAGGGCTGTGGTAAACGTTTGAAGGGACAGGATAAGTAGAGTATGAATTTGGGGGTATTGTGGATCTCTACAGTGTACATTTATTCACGACTGCTTTCTCTCTCTTTTTTTCATTGCAGATCTGTTTTTTTTCCAGATCATTGCCCAGGGCCTACCTGGACACACCTTTTTTATTAACCCAGGTGAGTGTTTTATTCAATAAACAAAAATTTGTATCACAGTTTTACTATTCGACCTTGTGCCCTTCCTGCAAGGACAGAGTGTGTCAGCGCTGGATTTAACAAACGAACCCCCTCAGAACCAATCAAAGCTCCAGGAAGGTTTTAAAACATTTCATCCTATGTGTGGCATTGAAGTTAACTATATACAGCCCATCTAGCCCCTTTCCCAACGTTGGGCTTTAAACCTAACCTTCCCCAACCACACAGAATTAAACAGTAGTAAAGTGTTTAATTCTGTGGGAATAGGTCTGGTAGGCCCAGGCAGCTGGCTTTTGCATTGGGTTTGGCATATCTCAGAAAAACAAAGTCCAACAGCCTCTGTGCACAAAGTCCCATATGGATGTTTAACTTTGTGTGAATGGGGAAGGTTAGGGCCAGGAACCCTTCGGGGTTATGGTTAATACTTGTAACATACAGCTAAAGAAAGTGCCATTTGGGCCCATAGTGGTGTTTTTTTTCTGGAGGTGCATCTTCAAGAAATCTGAAGGCAAAATAAGTACCGTGTAAATTCTTTGAATTTGAAATGTGTTGAGAGATACTGATGTTCATGCATTTTGGAGATCAACCCTTTGTTCATGTAAATAGAGCAAGACATGTCTTTGCATTACCAGATTCCATCATTCATGTAAGGTTATATGTTGTTACGAGGCTTAAATTCTTGACGGGCACAATACAATAATATTATTGTTGGAAGACAATTGAGTTTTTGAAAGGGGACACCATGTTTCATTTCGTACAGCATCGGGTGTACCAGAAATGTAGCATTTGTTGATATGTTGTATCCATAACTCAAGAAGTCAGATAGGGGCATTGCGTGGTAGCCTTTATGGAGGACAGTTATTTTTGTTCCACAGGGAAGCCTCCGTTGTGTATACCCCGTTGAACAAAAGCACTGGCCTGCCACATGGCAGCCATGCAAATCCCCAATTTCAGTAGTTGGCATTCTCCCATAGGGAGGTTAGTTGAGGAATAAAAAGTTTTCAGTCTTTTTTTTTAAAATGGAACATACATTTGTCCTGGTCCTCCATTTATGTTTCTACATGGCTTTAAAACAGACTTTGGCATTTCAACAAATCTCCAACTGATCCAGTTTACCACTGTACATTTTTGGAAAAAGTGGAATATCTGGAAAAACTAAGCCACCTGTTTGTCCTGTGTTCTTCGGTTCTCCCCGTGATTGGCTCACTTTCCGAGAAAAGTGAAAGTAAGCCACTGTGCGATTTTGATTTGAGAGTCCCAGTTTTGCTTTTCAGGACTGTTGTGAAAGTGGGAACCAGTTTTGTGTTTTTGGCTGCTGGTCCCTTGATATTTTTGGGTCGTTTAGCGACAATCAGGAAGTGCACTTCAGAAAATTACACCGACCTGTCTTTTCGGGGGGGGGTAGTTTATCATATCCTGAAAACCAGGAATTGTTTTCACAATTTCAGTGCATTTGTTGTTTGTTAGAAGTAGTGCACTTCAAATTGTAAATCTCTGGAAGCAGTGACCCCTAAGAGTTACACTTAAAAAGCTGGAAGATTTGCTTCCTCACCAGTCACTTGTTTCCAGTGAGCTTGGGTGCACCTTCAAACCTTTAGTGGTAGGGCTACTACCAGGCATGGTTTGCCTGTCAGATTGCCCCTCACTGCCTTTTGTTTGGTAGGCCAAGGCAACTCTTCGTGCTCGCTTCGTTTTAACCCTTTCAAATCCATGCACCGAGTTTTTCCTTGTACATTTGACACCTGTGAAAATCGGAAGGGTTTTGCCCACAGTTAAATGTAACTTTGATTTGAAAGTGGGATGGAGTATTGGATTTTAAACAAGGCAATTTGAATGACCAGTGTAGGCCTATTCCTGAGTATTGCTTTGCAAAGCTGTTTATTTCTTAGTGAATCTCTAGTTCTTTGGGTTAATTTTGACTGACCTCATCTTGTTTATATTGCATTTATCTTAAGCACCGAAACACCCTAAGGTAGCTTTTCATAAGTTTTTTTTTTCTTGGCTATTCCCTGCCTGTTGTCCAAAGCACAAAAACGATTCTGGAGACATGACTCAGAAGATGTGACTCGCGTTGCTAGGAGCCCTGTTTACGGCATCTGCCTTAACGACCCCTTTGACCTTGGGGTAGACTTAACCATGAAGGCAGCCAGCTGAATGCAGGCAGCCAGTAGTTCAGTGTCATTAACCCTCGGCTTTTTTTGTCACATCCTCCAAATCACTACAGCCTTTGCCTTAACTGTATGTGCTGTACTTAATGGCAATCCACTCTGACACAGAGATGGGCCATCGGCGCACTCCTCGGAAAATTCATAAGCCGCACAGGCTTTGTCCACAATGGCAGCGTCAAGCCACTGATAATGCAAAAAACATGAAGCGAGTCCACCTTCCCTGGCAAACGGCACAAGCAGCTTCTTGGTAGAATTTTTTACAGCACGGTTGGTTTCAAGAACAAAAGTCAGTACAGTTCATGCTCACCACCCCCCCTACATTCTTTACAACCGGCCCAAGGAATTTGCATTCCATTCAGAGATGGAAATTTAGAAGTGTGACTGATTTTTACGGTGTTTTTCCTACAGAGCATGAAGCATCATGCACGCTTTGTGGAATCCACCCACTCCGATTATCTGGTGTTAAAGGAGGTTCTAACAGAATAGCAGTTAACACATCGCTGAGCATTATCAGTTAAAAACAGATTTGTGCTTTGTCCATCACTGATTGCTTGCGAGTGGCCGAGGATTCAGTTGTATTATATCACCACTCACCACGTTGGGTCAGAGGTCAAGTGGTGTTCAGCAGTGGTCAGTTTCTAAGAAAATGTGCTAATGTGCATCCCTCAGTCTGTATGCAGTTTTTTTTAAACAGAGTTCACGCGTGGTGGCTGAAATGTTCTTTTGCACAGCTGGGGTCAAAGGTCACCTTAAACCACTCCCAAGATTTGGTCAGTTTTGTAAAACCACACACACAGCTGATATTTGCGCCTTTGTGAAACACGTTCCTGCCCCAGTTCCGTCGCTCCTGCAGCAGCTGCCTTCCCAGTGCTGAGAGAAATTACTCGTTCCCGTCGCTGTTCAAACTGACCTGGCTTTGGTGAATTTCATGCCTGCTTTTGCCCCAGTGATCTTTCTTTCTCGGGGCATTCCCGTTAATGAAGAGGCATTTGCTGCTTCCCCAGATCTGTCATTTGTTCAGTTCACGTTGACACAGGTCACAAGACCTCATGTGCATGTCTCATTTGTCATTTTGAGAGAAGAGATTAGTGATTGTGGATTTGTGGCTGTCTCTTCTTCCCGGTCTTGTTTGTGAGCAGGTTTTTTTTTTATTTTCCTCGTGATAAAAGTAGCTCTTGTAGGTTTCAAGAAAAAAATAAAAAGGGATTTTCCCAGTAGTAATGTTTTGGCGGCCGCAAATGTACATTTAGACAGCCTGTGTAGAAATAGGACAGGAAGAAAGCCCTGGAACCTTGTATATGTTTTATTAATTTATTTCCTTAGGCGTTGCTCTGATAGTTGACATTTTGTGAATGACCGGCCCCCTTTGATTCCAGTCTAAACCAGATCATTGGACTTGGAGGAGCAAAGGTCGCCTGTGTATTGGTGTAGGGCTCACCTGATGTCAGATAGCAGATTTGCAGAGATATCCTCCATGCATTCATTGTATTGTGCCGGTTAAAAAAACTGCCTAGGCACTCAAAGCTTGTTTTGCCAAATTCAAATACCTTGGTGGGCATTGCTTCCCGAGTGTGCTTGGCCCGTACTGTGTCGCAGTTTAGGTGGCCAAAGTTCATCAGGTCTTTAAGGAATTCTGGTTGGATTTTGAGGGGGCATTGAATTCTTTTTTCCTTTATTTTAGCCATTGCTAAATAAAGTAGGACGTGTATTTGAAATGCTGGATTCCTTGTGAAGAGACAGATTTAGTTACTTAATTCAGTTTCAGTTCCTGCTGAAGTCGAGCGTCTTTGACTCTGTGGCCTTATGATTACCGGTGTTTGCGTGTACCCCTCTCAGAAATCAAACATGACTAAATATACACCACGACCAGGAATACAAAGATAAACTGAGCTTTAGCCTCAACCTCCTCAGCAGTTTTTCTAGAAGGTTGACTCAATCCGTCAACTTCCAACACCCTTTTGCTGCTGGTTGGGGTATGCATGTGCAGGTATGTACTCAACCTGCCAGATTCCAACAGTCCACTTGCTGTCTCAGTACACAGCCCAATAAACTCAAACAGGCTGTAAACTGTTGGGTTTTGGCTGAGTGGGGATACTTGGTCATATACAATACTATGTATAAGGAATGGGGACGCTGTGTACTCATCCCTTCAAGATCCAACAACTGCAGGGCTATACAAAATTGTATTTGTTTTTTTTTGGGGGGGGGGCTGAGATTTCTTTGTTTTATCTGTGACTTCTCTTAAAAAAGCAGAGTCACCAAATACACTGGGACAATTCTACTCCTTAAGTACAGGTACATGACCAAATGACCACCATTTGTTTACAGGCACACACATACCAGCAGCATTATTCATCAAACACCCAGCAGCAAGTACTGGGTATTACCAACCATCCCTGCTCAGTCAAAACCCAACACTGTTGCTGCATCTATACGGGACTCATCCCGTCATAACCCAACGCTTTACGTAGTAAGTTTCATATGCACACAGAACTCCGCCCATCAAATTTCAACAAAGTCTGGTGTTGTAAATTGATGGGATGGGATTGTTGGGGGTAAGGAATCTTTTGGAGAACACTGAAAGGAAAGAGCCAAAGTAAAAGACTTTTTACTTACACATTGCAGTGGATTACTTGGCAGTAATATAAACCCTAACTCCCAAGGGTGTATATGAAATCATATTGAAACCAAAGGATTTGGGACTATTAGGGCCATGAGCACCGATTGTGTATATTTTTGCCAATATAGCAGATTACTTGTGCCAGGTTTGAAAATTTCCCCAGCTCAATAAGAGCCCTGTTACGTCATATTCCTCAGCAACACTTTTTAGCCTTTCGGCAGAAATATATTCTGTTATACCTCCCACGTGTTAGCGTGTGTAAAGTGGAGGCATTGTGTAGTTACATGTAGATTTGCACACCAAGGCTGTTTTGCTTTTGTAGCATGTAGTAATTAAATCAGAGTGTGGGAGAAATAAGATAATTACTCATCATTTGGAAGGATGTACATAACCACTTCATGAGTTTTCCATTGCTAATAACGACTTTCCATCTATAATACATTTCCATACATTTTCTTATTTACATAAGAATGCAAGCATTTTTTTAGGTCACGTTACTTTGCTCTGCAGTTTTAAATTAAGAGACGGAGTAAAAATAAATTTAAATAAAGACCTATCAAGCTTTGAAGTGGCCCAGTTTCCATTTGAGCCCTCCTCCAAAGTGCAGACTGACATTTAAACAGGGCACAATTTCCAGACAACGAAATGTATGTGAAAAAAGAAAGGGGAGAAAATATCATCGTGCATAATGTCACTGGAGGCCCAGCGGTGAGTCGTGCCCATTGAAAAGCAGCGCAAACGTGGGCCAGGAGCAAGACGGCGTGTAGCATATGCCGTGCATAATGTACCATGGATAATGCCTGCCCCTCATTATGTAGACGCTGGTTGCAAGCCAAGCTATGCACACACACACATACACACTCGCTCTGGCACGCTCACATGCAAGCAGAGACGAGTGGATTCTATAATCTATTCGAACCGCACCTTTGTCGTGTGGCCAGTGTGTGTGTGTGTGATGTAGCTCTGCTGCTGTTCACAGCCTACATGTACATGTCTGCTACCGGTGTTGAGTTGCTTTGATTTATGTAGTCTCATTGGAAAGGGGGACCTTGCTTCAAGAGTGGATTTACCAAGTTCTAAGAAAAACATCAGTTCAACCTAATCCACACCAGTGAGTTTTTGGCTTTAAGTGGAAGTGATACATTTCAGGTTGAATCATTTTGCAGTGCTTCCAAGGAATACATTTTAATTTTCCTAAATTAATTTGTGTTTCTCTTTTCTCATTTGCAAGACTCTGATGTTTATTTAGTCTGTTTCTCTCCCTTTTTCTTACAGATTTGATAAATTTAGCAAGCTATCACAATGTCGGAGTTAGAACAACTAAGGCAAGAGGTTGACATCCTCAAAAACCAAATACGAGTAAGTATCTGCTTTTTTTTATTTTTAAGAACATTTTTCCCGGTTTTTGAGGCTGAAATTCTATTTGAAGTGATTTAGTCCAGGAAGAACAAACTAAATTCTTTCAAAACCAATTGCTAAGCAAGTACTGTTGACCATGCCCTTAATAATTTTCAAACTTTTTAAAAGAATATTTTCTAATGCCAATGATCTATGCAAGAGGCAAGGCTTTGTTTGCGGTTTCCATTTCGGCCTTTGATTTTTCTTTTCAGGTATTGTTTTTGGTGCTTCTAGCATATCATCTAAAAAGAAAATTATGCCACCAGCAACTTTGAACTTAAAGTTATGTTGATGTCAGCACATTTTGAAGACTCAAAATAAACAGTTGATCTTAAGAAGAAAGAAACAAGTTTCTCGACATGAATCAAAATTCTCGTGGTCCGGTGGAGACTTTACCTAAATGCCAAATTTGTTTTAAAAGAAATCAGATGGCTACTTGAGCTTATGTGCCCTTTGAGAGCCAGAGCCTGCACCCAGGCACATTGAATCCGCTTTGACTTCAGAAGTATGCCAGAAATGGCCATTATCAGAGCGGCTAGGATGGAGCAAGCAGGCACAACGGGATCCATTACATGTACATCTCCACTGTACAAACTGCTCCCACCGTAACCGGTTTGGCTTCTGTCTTAGTGGCGAAACCCTGTTTGTACACTGTGTCTTCCGGTATTCCCCCCAAATTCCCGTATACGCGGTCCGTGGAATGTTTTGTCTTTTCAGGCCGTACCCCTCATTATTAATGATTTAAGGATGGTGGAAGGGGGGACAAACAAGCAAGGAAGACTCGCTGAGCAAAGTAAGATTTCACTCTTGATCTGTGCCCTCAAATGGCTTTCTCTGCAGGACCCCAGGTTGTTCCGATGAGTATTTCAGTGACTTTGGAAGTTTTGATTGTAATAGTGTATTAGTATTGCTTGGACCCGCAGGCCATCCACTAATGGATCCATCAAGGTTTTTTTTCTAATTTCTTCTCAGTAATAGAGGGTCAAGGTTCCAGGAAATCATGTTGTTCCATTGGTCCCTTGCATTAGTTTCTGCACTTCGCTGGCAAATAATAACATAAAAATGGAGGCCTGTCAAAATTGCTGGCACGACGCTCAGTTTCAAATTGACCTGTGCTGTCCCACGTTCTTCCAAAATCCAAAGACTCCATTTTCCTTGGGAGCAGGAAAGTGGGACCTGTCCCGAATATGTTCAAGTCTGAAGATTGTACTGTTGGTGCACTGAGCAGTGGTGGTCATTGGAGTATTGAGTAAGGATCCTTTTGGGGGAAAAAAATCAAGTCAGGGGTCATCTTGTCCCATCACACAGAGAACGATTCACATCCAACGAATCTTGAGTTAGCAAAACTTACAGGTTCAATATTTGGCAATGCCATGAAAAACCATACGATTTCCACAGGCTTTGCAGAGAGCTATGCATATTTCAGAAGGTGTCTTATACTTCAGTACGGAAATACACCATGGAGTTTGTTAATCTGAGCATGATGTAGACTTGGACTAACAGCATGAGTAATGCGATCCGAACAAGGCTCAGTGTCATGAGCATTGCCGGCCTCGAGAACTGGTACCAGCATTATTGTGTGTTCAGTATGCCTATGAATAATGCGTGGCTGCAGATGGCGGTACATGTGCATGTATGTGTCCAGTAGTACTGCTTGCGTCCCCTACAGAATTATGTGAGGAGAGCATGCCCCTTGTCGAGGTCTTCAGATGCACATCGCCGTCTGGTGTGGCTGCTGGTGTCACAGGATTTGTGCCTGGGTCTTGTTGCCAGCTTTCTCGCTTGTCACGTTGCCTTCTTTGTTTCCTGAGTAACAGCGGATGAGTCACCCGCTCAGATTGCCACAGCTTCCCTCCCCCCCGCTAAGGACAGTCGCTCTCCACCGCCCAGACACATTTACTGAAGCCAGTATGTGATATGATGAGGCCATACAGGCGAGATGTCATCATCAGTTCAGAGATATCCCACCCTCCCTGAGACCGTTTGAAGTGAATGGACTAAAATTTTCATCGAGGATGCTTATATGTAGCCCTCAACTGGTGTGATCAAGAAATTCTTCATTGATAAGAACCTGTCCCACTCTCCAGAAGCAGTAAGGTGCCAAATGGGCCTTGAAATTTGGGAGTGGAAATTTTTTTGAATGTGCATTACAGTTTTTTTTTCCTTCCAAGCCTGTTACCTTTCCAGGACACACAAAGCAGTAGGGTGTCCTTTAAAAAAAAAATCACCAACAGTGAAATTAGCTCCGTATCGATAACAGTCAGCATCTGGCGTACATTTTTGTAGCTCTTTCCAGCTTGACAAAGAATGGGGTTGGTTTGAGTTGGTACATTGGGAAGTGGCCCTGGAAAATTCTTCGCCAAGACAGTGTGGTCCACCAGATATCTGGGAAGGCTCAGCATAACCATCTCTCTCTAGCAGAGTTCTACGGTTCCCCACCTCAGTCTTTTCCACCTCATACATGTCATAGCAATATCACCACATGACGTAGAGCTTGATAACATGTTGCAGGGATTTTTTTCCCCTTGTATTTTCAGATGCATAGGCATCACTCCCACCCCCCCAGCACACAATAGATGGAGGGAGTGCATGCGGAATATTACTGACCATGTTACCAGGCAACGCAGTGTGTAGAGCCATGTATTGGCATATGCTATCGCTCCCCTCCCCCCTTTATTGATTCATAGGGACGATATGGACGCTGGCAGTGATGTCTCCATCCATCCACCCTTGCCAGCCAAACAATTCCATAGGGGCTAGGTACATGTTAATGAGTCTCCCTGTACAAAAAAAACCCTCAGCGGGTTCCCCAGTATTCATTTGTGGAAAAAGGAAACGAAAATCTGCAAACTGTACATTTGTCCATTATCTTCAGGCTGGTTGTGATGCTCAGAGCTGTGGAGGCGGTATGCCCAGGTGCTTAGGGAAGTAACCTAGACCGTCCACATAACAACGCCACCCCTTCCTCGTATTATTCAGATGTGAAACTGAAACACAGAACAACATTTATAATACGGCCAACCAAAAATAATGTTGTGTTTCCCATGGAGAAAAAATCAGGATGAATGAATAAGTAAAATTTCCTGTTGTTTTTCTTGCACTCTCTCGGTCTTTTACTATGTGACTCTAAAAGATTTTTGGCCAAAAATCAGGGTCGGATGAGAGTTGATATGGGTTCTCTGTACATGTTTGTGTGTACTCATTTTTAAAAGTTCACAGTTGACAAGGTGAAATTTAATATTGTACGTGTTAGCGGTTCAAGGATGGCTGAATTCAGAAAGCAGTTGGTTGTGGGTACCCACGCTCATAGAGAAAAATCAGCCTCCCCCCCTCCCTCCAGGCCAATCAGCTATTAACAAAAATGAACAAGACCCAGGTCGCACATGATTTCTCAGGTCGAGTCAGGTATGTGTAATTGGAAAGAGGAGTTTGTTTTGCATGGTCCCATTTTCAAGGGGAGGACATAATTGATCAACAGGATCCCTGTTAGCAAACTCTGCTAGGTGGCCTTAGTCTGTAGTTGTTGGGGGGGGGGCTGGTGGGGAGATTCAAGTTTCGTTTCTCGGAAGGCCTGAAACAAACAGGGAGGAGGTTGTGACAGTGTCAAAGAAATGTAGTAATTCCTCAGAGCATTTTGGTACAAATTTGTTTTTAGGCCACGGGTAGTGATTTTTGGCATTGCCTGACTGTTGCGATCCCGCGTTAATTTCTGAAAAATTATTAAAAAATTTCCCTCTATATATTATCCGCAATAAGAATACCAGTTGGCTGAAACCCTACTCTTGGGCTTTTGCATTGTTTATTGTTTGAGACCCCAATAAGTATTACTTCCCGTTATTACTTTACACAAGACCCTGAGAATGCTGCCACAATGCACAGAGTGAAACATCAGGTTTGTGGCATTGCGTTGTGTGTAAAAGGATGAAGGAAATGTCCTTGCTGGAAAAAAAAGCCAGGGAGTTAGATTGCTTGGAACAAGGAAATAACAAGTAACGGTTGAACAATATATAGAAACATGATACATGTTAACTATACGGATCCTCGTTAGGTTTATTGTCTTTCTAATTTTTTTTATTGTGAATGATCAAAACAATAACTTGGCATTCCTGTCCCACATGCCCTGTGTCTGTGAAAAGGTTTCCTTTGTTTTTTCCCCTTCATACAAGTCGGCATCTTGACATTTGTGACAAATATCACTTCCAGTAATTAATTTTGTTGTTCATAATTCAGTGCCAAACGTGAACATTGACACAGGAGAAAAAAAAACAGGCAGCAGTCATTGGGATCTGTAGGGAGAGGTTTCACCATTGTTATCGCCGTGGTTGCGCTGTCTCTAAGCAACGGAAGAAACTGCACGTGTACAGATCTCAAGGCAAACGATGCAAGCAGTATTCCCTGCACAGGCCGGTTAATTTATGCCCGGGGGTTTGTTTTCTGTCAGTGACAACATTGGCCACAACTCACTCCTGGTCAACTGGTGTCTGACATTGCATTTTTATCAGTAACCTCCCCAAATCATCAGCAGGAGGAACCCCATGGCAAATACCCTGTGCTTCAACTTTTTTTAAAATATTGAATCCCTATGTGAGGTAGTACGATTCACAGGCTGGCCTCTCTACCTCCAATCCCTGAGAATCTTTCAAAGCCTTCCTCAGCAGATTTTGAAATAGCTCGGAAAGTCGGGGCTCCTTTTGCCCGAATTGCAGATTTGACAACAGATGACTTCGGGGCTGTATATTTCCGAATTTCTTGCCCAGAGTGTACATGTACTTCTGCCATCTGTTAAATACCAGAACCATGCAACTACCAATATTTTGTGTGACGAATGAAAATATAGCGGTTGTTACTGACCAACTAGTATCAGTCTATGTGGGGGAAAAACAATATCGGTTTTACATTTCATTTTGAAAAGCAGCTCTGTTTACTCAGAAAAAAAAATTTATTTCGGGGATATTTTAGGGAGTTCCACATGACGTGCATTGCTTATGCTGGTACTCTCTTACGTGTGCGTATTGAATGGAATACCAATGACCATTTTATAGCGTGAATACAAAGATCTTACTGCCGTGTTACAATCGAGGGTTACATGAACGTAAGGGTGCATGCGCACATCTGGGTTTACATGCACTTTCAAGAGCCTGCAGGTGTATTTGAAAGGCCGAATGTACCTGCATGATTGTGTTGGTTCCTAGTTTAATAGTGGCATTGGCAGGAGCATAAGGGTAACATTTAAATGGCCAGGTACTGGGCAGTTGGCGGATAATTTGTCCCAGCACACTTTCGTATCTTGGAATCTTAAACTCGAATCTGATCGTTGCTTTTCAGTGTCAAGTTTGTCATAAGTAACAATTTTCTTGAATCACAATTTCAAGCTTTGTTCCCTTTTTACTGTCGTTCTGCTTTGTGTTGTCAAAAAAAGACGGTGCTTTGAGATGGGAGCATTGCACAGCAGTGTACAAGACGCACTGAGATTAGCCAAACATTCATCGCCCAGCCAGACTATAATTTGATAGGACACATTCTGAAACTGCATGCATTGTAACAGTGTTCATGTACATTTACACATAGGCGTGAATTCTAGTGTCATATTTTGTGTACTAAATAAATTAACCTTTCTACATCGGTACTCAAAGTAACTATGTAAGTTTATGCAGGGCAATTTCAAAAGTCAGTGCAATTTGATTGTGTATTGACTGACTGAATTTTTCCGTATCTTTGGACTTACAGAGGAAATATAAGGAAATGTTGATGGTTTCTTGGCCAAAAAATGATACAAGGAAAAAATTCAAATACAGAGTTTTTGCATGTATTCCAAATTGCATCGTGAATATATCAAATCTGAAATTTGCTTCCAGCGGAAAATTCATTAAAAGCAAAGGGTACTGGCTTGTATTTACAGAGGTATTTTTTAAATTTCCATTTCCTCAGAAACAAAGGACTTATGCCTTGGGTTGGAAGGAATATTGGATAAACAGTGCCACACAGGGTTTTTGTTCAAACCGAAAGGTGTATTTAAACATGAAGACAGTGGCACAAGCAACACACACTACTCGGCCGTGGTGTGTGGTTGGTTTGTTATTTCTCTCTCGCTTTGAGTGATTAACATAACCCAACCTGCATTATGCGCTGATTCACATCACATACAGCCTGGGCCTACAGGGGATGTTGGTATTGTACGGGCCACACAAGACACCCAACGTTACCCGGATCGTGCATGCATGTGCATGTGGCAGGGCCCAGCACTCAGCCGTGTGTCTGCACGGTTTGCCCTTCTGCTGAAAAAGCTCTTGGAATTGGATGGGATGTGTGCAGGGCGGGTGAGCGGGTCTCCTAATTACATGTGCCGGCCCGAAAAGAAGTGGCGTGTTATTTTCATCTTGTTTATTTTGGGCTTGGCCTCTTGTGTCGGCCGGCCGTGTGGCTTTAAATTGTTGAAAAGCTGATAACTGCTTGAGTGTTTGGGCATCATTCTTGCATGGAAGAGGCTGTAAATATGTTTGCCCTAGCGTGGTTCTGCTCAAGGTACAAAGGAGTCGTCGTAGGCTGCGTTTGTCAAATGGTACAGGCACCGTGTCATGCTTTTGGGTCTGGTCATGTCCTATGAAGGTGACGGCATTCTGAACATCTCCGATCATCGTGCGGTGGATAAAAATGACAGGCGGAATAACGCCTTGCTGAGGATGTATGGAAATGTCACTTGCTGAATCTCGGTCATGTCGAATCTCACAAACATGTTCTGTGGGGGGAAAACGACGGCACTTTCTCCAGGGGGACCGAATTCCAAGACAAACATACATGTAATGACGGCTGTGGAAGTTCTATTGTCCTTGTGTTGCCCTCAGTTTCCATGAGACGTTGGACTGCAGTGATTGGCTGTCCAATATCTTGTTGCCACACATTGTGAACCAGGTACAAACACTGATGCAGTGGCATTAACTGACGCTTCGTCTTGGGTCTGAAGAAATTCAGGGTAACGGTACTTGTTTTTAACCGAAGGATTTTACTCGTTGCTGTAAATGTCAAAGTGAAACACTTTTTTTTCTGTTTGTTGGACTTTAAGTTACATGTTATTTCACCGTATTATGAGGGAATCGTTAAAATACTCATGTACGTTAGGATTAGGAACGGTTTTTAAAAGAAGTTTTGTTGTAGAGGATGCAGAGTGATTCGTGAGCAGCTGCTTGTAAGGTGGCATGGATGTATTGTAAGGCCAAACAAAAATTGTTTCCAGTCGCTGTGTTTCCGGTTACCCAATCTAGAAAATCATGCAGAACCTGTATCTTTTATTCGACAAATCAATAAAATATAAAAACTTATGGTGCTTTGCCCTGAGCCTAACTTTGTGTACATCGTCCTGTACATTGTATTATTTAATTTTTTTTGGGGGGGGGCATGAGATGGACAGCAATACAATAATCGTTGGCTTGATGAATTTGTGGTGAATGTACATGTACAGTATTAATCTGACACTGACTCAGTACGTGTAACAAATATACCAGTCCCCCCACCCCAAGACCATCATCCGACCCTAGTTTTTTTGGGGCTATAAAAATTTAGAGTAGTAAAAAATAAGTTTAACCAACCACCCAAATTTATTTTTCAGTGTAACAGGAAACACAGTTAATTTTTTGTTTGGCCTAAAATGTTTTGTTATAACACTTCAAAAATGTTTGTTTTGTGGAAAAAACTTGTGTGGAATTCAGTGGAAATATAAAGATTTGACTCAATATTGTTTAAGCTAAGCCTCAAGGTTTAATGTAGAACACTTTCATGTCTCGCTGGATCTGGCATTGTAAGAGTTGAAAGTCAACATTGTCAAAGAAATCCTACAGTTTTATGTGAAAAGAGATTGCCAAGAAATTACCAAGAAGGGCCAATATTTGAAGACTGGGGCGTGGGGGTCTCTCGGAAGCATGGGTTTTAGCCAAATTTCAGCCCTCTCCGTTTCTTTTTCCTCGCAGGATGCCAGAAAAGCAGTCAACGATAGCAGCCTTGGTACCATCACGTCCAATATGGACTCGATAGGACGGATCCAAATGAGGACTAGACGAACACTTCGAGGCCACTTAGCCAAAATCTATGCCATGCACTGGGGGTCAGACTCGAGGTAAAAGTAGCAGCCGCACATTTTTTTTTTACGCGTGTCAGACGTTTGCACGCATGACAGTCGGTGGCACTTTGCAGACTACGCGAGAGCTACGGAGGTCATTGTGCCATATTCAAACCGGAGGTCGGAAGCTTTGACTCTTATGCACAGATGCTGTAAAGTTGGAGAAGCCTCTTGTTATACGATGCCTGCACGGGGGGACGATGCCTTCCAGCCACGAAATACACTGTGTTTGAATTTATTGCAGTTGTCTGCATCAGATGTTCGACGTAGTCGATCATTTTGTTCATTTCATGGGACCTTTATCCTTTAGTTGTGCCAAAGACGCGACAAAGCAGCTTTTTCAATACAACCTTTTGCCGTGGATGGATAAATCATTTGAATGCAGATCTTATTTTTAATTGAGTGGATCGAGATACTGATTGCAAGGATGGATTTGCGCTTGGAAGATGTTCATTAATTTTCGATTTTTTTTGCCTGACGTGTATTAGAACACTGTATACTTGAGATACAAACTTGTCCGACCTATAAATTATTGACATTAAATTGGACTCAAAATAATTTCCAACTCTGTGTTTTCATTCTGTTGCACAGAAACCTTGTGAGTGCGTCACAGGATGGCAAATTGATAGTTTGGGACTCTGTGTCAACCAATAAGGTGGGTTCTTAGTTGAGACCAAGAGGTAATGATTGGAATGTCAACAGAGGTTATTCAGGAAACAAAACCCCTAGAGCCTCAGGTTGCATCCAGCTGAGGTTGAGTTTCCGATGCCCTAGCCCTGCCAAAAAGCCCCGAATGGCATCAGGGAAGTGGCGGTAGGAGTTTTGCAGTGTGGTTGCCCTAGAGACGCAATTCAGGTGTGCCTCAAGAGGATGCCGGTTGTTGAAGCGGTCTCCTGTTAATCACAGTTGTCACTTTTGAAGTCCTTCCTGAAATCCTCCAGTACTGGCTACAAGTAGTTGTCACACATTTCATGCATCAGACTCCAAATGTCTATTGCAGTCTTCCAAAGACGAGGCACTTCTCGACACATTGAGCCACATGTATCTGCAGTGCAGATTAGTGAGCAATTGTTCATAATGTGTTGCACCGTCCAACACACCTCTAATTTGATCCTTAGCAAGTCAGCTCCTAGTATTGACGATCGAACAGGGTACATGCAGATATTGGAGAGAATTTAAGTTGAACATGACAATGAGTACTGAATGCATTTCAGTTGTGATGATGACTGTCACCTGTGCACTGGATATCAATACCAAGTATAGTTTAACAAGTTCTCGTCTTACCATTGTTGGCATTTTTGCATCAGATGTGAATTTTGGAATGGGGGTTTGCCCTCTGATAAGCCCTCTTTACTCAAAGTTGTCCAACAACCTTTGACAAGGATCCGTGGGGTTTCCTTTGGTGGAACTTAAAGCTGTGACCTCCTGCAAGTTCCCTGAGTCTGATTTGAGTCCATGACCTTCATGAGCTTCCTCAGTTTGATTTGATCTCAGTCTTCTGTGATGCTTCTTTGAGCCGGACTCAAACCCACAACCGTGTTTTGTTAAAGTGTCTTTGGTATTGGATTGGGCTCGATTCAAACACTTTTCCCCCTGATTTAGTTTGACAGCCAATTCTTGATTTTTTTGGGGGGGGGGAGTTTGGGGTTTTGGTTTTTTATAATCTGAAATTTGCTGGTTTTATTTTGTGGGCAGGTCCATGCAATTCCCCTGAGATCCAGTTGGGTAATGACCTGTGCCTATGCGCCATCAGGTAGCTTTGTGGCATGCGGCGGGCTGGACAACATCTGTTCAATCTACTCCCTCAAGACGAGGGAAGGCAACGTCCGCGTCAGCAGAGAATTGCCAGGGCACACCGGTGAGTACCCCATGCCCGGCCTAGAGACTCGGGGGGAACATCGAGGAACATCTCAGAATGTTGGCAACACTGTAGAACCTTGCAGTCAGTGAGCCACTATTTGTAAGCCAAACTGGGTGGGAACATCACCTGATTGCAGCTCAAAGCAGCAGGGTTTCGAGTTCTTCCAGGGGTACAATTGAACTGAACTCTAAACATGAAGACAAAATGCTGTAATGCCTACTTACTTCCTTTTTCCTCTGTTTTTTCTCCCTCCATTACTTGTCAGGTTACCTTTCATGCTGCCGTTTCATCAATGATAACCAGATTGTAACTAGTTCAGGAGATATGTCATGGTAAGAGACACATATCCCCCCCCACACACACGCACCCAAGTGCGTAAACGCCTTCAATCGTGGACTCCCTATTGTTCCTATTTTGTTCATAGTTTAACTTTTTCGGAAGACCTCCCATATGTTTTGTACACGTTTTCCAACCGTGGACTCTTCGGCAACCGAGGACGCGATTGTCTCCTATTGTTATAGGTCCACGATTGAAGGCGTTTACACACTCGCGCACACACAAACGCGTGATACAAAAAGATAAAGATATTCGATCGGTTAATGTTTGTCATTGGGAGTTGCAAGGTTGCCACACCGCTGGAGGGGGGGAGTTGTTGAGATCAGGGCTGTCGATGATGTGCGCGGTGCTGTTTGCAGGCAGCAGCTGATGGGTGCACAGTGAACTGGCTGCAGCGCCTCCAGGACATCACGTAGCCTCTGCTGCCTTGGACACGAGATGCAGACCTTCAAGTTTCTTCCTCTCAAAGGTGTTTAATTTCTTTCTGTTCCCCCTCCCCCCCGGCAAACAGTGGCCTTTGGGACATAGAAACAGGGCAGCAGACGACAGGTTTTACTGGACACACAGGCGACGTCATGAGCTTGTCGGTGTCCAACGACAATCAGACATTTGTCTCCGGCGCTTGCGATGCCTCTGCAAAACTATGGGACATAAGGGAAGGCAACTGTAAGCAGACGTTCACCGGTCATGAGTCAGACATTAATGCCGTAACAGTAAGTTCCCCTTGTTTTTTACCTCCATCTTGTTTATCTGTCCAATCATTCCTGTTTGTCACCGTCCCTCAGTTGGTGGGTTCCACACTGAAATTGTAGATAGTACTGTGCCACGTTCAAAAGAGCAGGAAAGATGCAGTGCATGCACACTTGTCCATGTGTGTATGGCACAGCATATGCACAACCAGTTTTCGTCGGAATGTGCACAACCCCAGGCATTGTTACCTAGCAGCAGTGGCATTCAAGTATTGCTGTCCTGTGTTTATCTTGTGTCCCTCATCGTTTGGAAAGGGCTCTTGGGTACATAGTTTGTAGACTCGGCGGGACCTGGTGCACAAGCCTTTTCAAACCCAGCCTGCAAAACCCGCACCCTCAAGAAAGAACGAGGATAAATTTTCCCCTACAGAAAGTACCTTCATGGACATGGTTGATAGCAACCATTCGATGGAATGTCCATCACAGAGAGATACGTCACAGTGCATGATATTCAAATTAGGAATGCTACATCTTTGAATGAGTACATTGTAGAGTTTACTGCATTTATGCAATCACATCAGTTGACCTCTGCCTTGAAAGAGCCTTACAATAAAAGCCTGGCATAACGTTGGTTTTTTTTTTAATCCCTCGACATGGCCAATTAATTCCACTTTCTATACGTAACCTGTATTGATGGACGATACTTCTAGTGTCTGGTTGGGAGGCAGTTTATCCCTCACAAGTTTGCACTTGACAATTTGCCCCTACCCCGGTCCTTTTTCCCACTCGCAGTTTTTCCCAAGCGGCACTGCCTTCGCCACTGGCTCGGACGATGCCACCTGCCGGTTGTTCGACATCCGGGCGGACCAGGAGCTCATGCTGTACTCCCACGACAACATCATCTGCGGCATCACGTCAGTAGCTTTCTCAAAGAGCGGCCGCCTCCTGATGGCCGGCTATGACGACTTCAACTGCAACGTCTGGGATTCTATGAAGGGAGAGCGCGCAGGTTGGTTGTCAATTTGGACGTAATACCAGCCAGAAAATTGTAGTTTCTCGGATTAGAACTGAGCATTTGTACGTCACAGTTGACACTGGAGCACTGCGGGCAGTAACATTGGGGCATGTGTGATTCTGTAATGGATCACAATGTGGCATTAAGATTTGGACTGGGACATGTATGGAGCAGATTTGGCTACAAGTTCAATGAGAAATCTGGCGTTGCATGTGAAACAATTGCAAAGTTACAAGTGGGTTGAAGTTTGTTTTCGCTCTCGTTAATTTCTGAGGAGAAAAAATGTCCCAGCGACCTGTTTGGCTTTTGTGTGTGATCCAGTCACAGTCGTTGCTGTTTTCAACGTTTGTAACCTGTTCCTGTTTTATTTTTTCCCACGCTCTTTTACCCAGGTGTTTTGGCTGGCCACGACAATCGCGTCAGCTGCCTGGGTGTGACCGATGACGGCATGGCAGTATGCACGGGATCCTGGGATAGCTTCCTCAAAGTATGGAACTAGAACCAGTCGACACGCACTTAACATAAAAAACAAGAAAACAAGGAAAAAAAAAAAAACTCCCAAGAGCAATAGGGGAGGGCACATACCCCTTGACCAGCCAACGAAAGGGGGGTTGGGGGACACACTCTTAACCCCTCTCAAAGCTGCGATGATCAGTCCCTGTCTGCACGAACCCTCAAAAGCCAGTGGTTGGGGGCGGGGCTCCCCCCCTTGCTGGGGGTAGGTGGAGAGAGCCGAGTATTGCTTTGGACCCTCGATAACGAGCGTGTATTGCAAACCGTGCACGTAGTTGGTTAACCAGCCACTTGATGATAGGGACAGTATCTGTGTAGGGACAATATCTTGGGATTTTCTCAAGGGATGCTAGACTTAATGTAGAAATCCCAAACATTGGGGGGGGGTTCTGTGTGTGTCCGAATGCCCTGTTCAGTGCTACTAATGCAGAACCTGCATCTGTACAAACTGGGAGGTAAAGGAGGTCCAGCGATGGTGGTTTAACCTTTTAAAAACAAAACCTGTAATAAATTAAAAACACCTGTGTATGAAATGCTTGAGTGAGCGTTTTCAAGTAGAAAAATTGGTCTTAAAAATAGGGGAGGGGGACATTGTTGAGTTTTTGAAACCTGACAAGAGAGTGGCGTTCATCTGAAAAACTACCAAAAAAAAAAGGGTCTCTAGTACCTTGACATAAAAAAGTTCCAGGAAAAAGGCATGTGATTTCTGGGACCTGCGGCGGCCTGTGCATTAGTTGTGTATATATATATATTTTGTGTTGTTCAGTATGCAGATTTGATCTTTCCTCAGATTGTCACCTGGGTCAAAAAAGGAGCATCTTGCTCAGTTTGGTCAAAGACGTGCTGACGTCCTCGTTGATTTATTTTCAATTTTGCTCCTCTTTTACAACCCCCAAAATACCCCCCCCCCCAAAAAATAGGGACTCTAAACCTTGTATGACCCTTCCTTCTGGAAGTTTTTCAGGAACGTCCGACAGATTATTGACAAGCTTTTTTGCCGGGTTTTTAAAATAGTAGCTATATATATATATTAAATGTAGGGGTACGATATTTAGTAGCCCAGAAAAACTGACGCATGTGTCAAACGATGCATGTATATATGATACGTGTTTAATTTTTTAATTTTCACCTGTGGTTAAATGTTGACCAAAAAGTGGGCATAAAATGAAATTGGAAAAAAAAAAGTCTAGATTTTTCACCACCAATTTAATAGTCTAGCAATCCCACATAAATGTAACGATAACCTGTGCTCATGTAACCGAAGTTTTTATTCGTTGAGGAATTTTTCCCTTTCTATTTGTTATCATTGCATTTATAAAAGCAGTGTGAATGGATTATAAAGGTTACTCTTCTAAAAAAACAAAGTGGAAGCGATAGACAAGAGTAGAAAAAACCTGTAAGCAGAGTCGTGCTTTGGAAACTGTCCTGCTGCTTGTTCAAATTCAAATATTTGGGGGGGGGTGTTGGAAGGAAAAAGGCCCTTGTTACTAGTAATCATCGTGGGTTTTTTTGAAGCCAGTCTGAACAAAGGTGGCTGAAAAAAGAAAGATGCTGGCATTCAAAGAGCAGGAACGGTCTGGACACGGCCCTGGCTGTAAGCAATCCAATCAGGCCGTTCAAGGTAGATACCGTCTTTGTCCCAGAGCCAACATCAAAATAGGTTGTCATCTGCAGAATTTGTTTCTTGGAGTTGTGTTTTTGAAGTGTGAAACATTTTTTTTTTTTTTTTTTTGTTTTTAAATTCAAAATGCCCTCAAGCTGACACACACTGTCCTCTTCGCTTATTTTTTATGTTCGTTGTTTACTGGCAATATTTTCTGATTTTTTAATTTACCAACTCTCTTTAAACATGGCATTTACACTCACTGTTTTTAGTATTAACCAACATCACTTTAAGATATGGGCTTTGTTTATGTCTCATGGAAAATCACCACTCCACTTATGTGTATCAACTGTGCACTCTTCAAAGCTGTTGGCATTTTTCCCTTTTTGCATGCATTACCCTGCCCACATATTTGCTTGTATCGGGGCTCATGTTGAAACCGAAAAAAGTGCAATGAAAAGACTTGGTAGCCAAGATGGAAGTCATCATGCTCCTGGTTGACAACCAAAAAAAAAAAAAACACCTGCGTTGCATTAGTGGCATCATGGGAAGGGTTTTGCAAGCAGTTGCCCTTCATTGCAGTCCGAGACCCTGGGTAAGAACCTGTACCTTCGCTCTGTAGTGGATTGAAAATCTCCTGGTGAATGGGATTTAGCAGGTGAATTTACTGTATGATGTTTTTAAAAAAAAATGAGCAGCTGGTGACAATGTAGAACTCATCTTGTAAAAGTATGTGATTGTTCTATTAATTTTTTTTTTTCGTTAAGTGCACTGGCTACCCTGAAAAAAGGTTAACGTAAGAATTTTTCTTTTCCATTTTGGGCACGTACTAGTTATTAGCTTATGAGAAAGGGGATTATAAAAAACACCTTGCGAAATCTGGTTTGAAAAATTGCGTTCAGCTTGGCATCACAAGATGATATTTTTTTTGAGACCTGCCAGTTTGTTTTGAGTAAAGGAGCCAAATTCCTGGGGAGATTATGTAGTATTGTCATTTATTGCATAGTTGCGACACAGGAAACCAATTCTTTGTGTATTGATATGATGTCTGTGTATTTAAAAACAGAAAAGTTAAAAGTCATGAATTTTAACACTTATAAAATAGAAGAAAAACTTTCACACACTACTGCATAGCCATGTGGATTTAGAGAGATCGTTTTCATTCAGAACTAGTACATTTTTTGTATTATGGACTGAGAAAGTTAAAATCGTGACTTACTTGAAAAATGACTTGAACGTTTTAAGAATATCTGTGTATAAAAACCAAGCAAACCCTTTGTGTGCAGGGATATCAAGTGTTTCTGTTTGACCTTTTTTTTCAAGCTGTAGATAAAGTTACAAAAAAAAAAATGGAAAAAAAAATGGAAATTTTGGAATGAAAACATTACATCTGCTCCACTCAGAGGGATCATAATATTTGTGTGTGTATCTTTGACAGACTGAGAAAGGTGGCGTGGCATGTCGTCTTAAAAAGAGTATAGGAGGTTACAAACAAAAACCACAAAAAGTCTCAAAAAAAATCTGTGCGCAAACTTTTGTAGATAGTGTTCGTAGACAGTGCTGTGTAGTTTGGATGTCAGCATTATTCGGAATGGTTCCAACGTTCACTATTGCATTACTGTTGATTTACCGACAAAAAAAGAAAACTTAAAAAAAAAACAAAAAAAAAACAAGATTTAAGATGCATGGCGAAATGGGTCATTAGTGGAGACTTTTCACTTTGGTTTGAAAAGACAAAGTTCCAAAACATTTGCTTTCTAAGTGAAAACGCTGATTGTTTGGAATTGCAACCTCCCTGGTTGCTTTGGTCATTGTATTTGACGTTTTTGGGGACGGGGGGTTGAACAATATGTGATGTCGCTTAACTGTGACCCAGTACAAAATGTGGAACTTTAAATATATTTCGTATGATGGAGTACTACTCCGGAGAACTAATTTATGTGGTACTTTTTGATATAGAACTGATGTATAGCCTGTCTTGTTATGTTCTTCAAATTATTATTTGCAATTCAGTAACAAAGTCAGACCTGGTTTGCATCCTAAGTATAAAGTATTGAAATGTGTGTAGGTGTTTCTAGTAGTAAGCCGCTGTCTTAGGATTTTTTTTTTTTGTATTTTCCTCTCTGCACAAATAGCAGGAGAAAGTGTAGCCCGAATTAGACTGGTGCCCACGGTACCGCTACCGCCCCTGGCTGGTTTGTGTTCACAGTGCCCAGGTACCAGACCAAGATGGCCCCCGTGGGTTGCGAGATATGAATAGTGGCCTTCAGAGGGTGTTTCGGCCATAGTGTAGACATGATTGCAGGGGACATTCTCTCGGTCTCGGTTGTCCAGTCCGCTGAATTGGAAGGCCAGTGAGCTTTCCATCTTTGGCTGGAAACACCCTTTTGAAGCTCCAGAGTCTATGTAAATTTAATAAGGGCCAAATTTAACAAGCGTTTTTTTTTTAAGAAAAGTGCTGGTGGGATTTGTGAAGATATATTGACTGCCACCATTTGTACTTCTATGAATTGTTTTCTCCCCAATTCAGAATGTGCATATGTTTTGCAAAATATGTAGATTTGCCCATCTGTCTAGTTCCCTGTTCAGAGGCAAAACACAAGGGACATTTTACGGTATGCACTATTAGGGTATTGAGAAATTGCTTGCTTTCCAAATCAACAACAAAAATCCCAAAGTCAGCAAGTGGACCAAACGATTTTCGTTAGGAGTGCCTGATCATGTCATGCTGGTCGACGAACTGCTATATATTTGATTTGCCCTTCTTGTTCAGGGGAAAGAAGCCAATTTTTTTATGATTACAGTATTGAAGCCGACATTGCCTATGATATTTGACCTGTTCCTATTTTTACCCCGCGTACGAGGAACAAAATATTCCAAGTTAATAATTTTGGTCTATATAATAACGCGTGTTCCAACAGTACTGCAAAATGTCCTTTGTGTTTTCCTGACTAACTTCTGCAGGGCTCGTAGTTTCTATAATCATGTTAGTTGTAATGTGTAAGAGAAGACAAAAAAGTGTCGCCCCTTTTCTTGCTCTAACTTTTCATCGGGCACAACTTCAATGCCTTGTTTTGTTTGATCTCTGAATATGATTAAATGTGTACAGTTATAAGTGAATATATCAAAGTAGTGGTAGCGACGACAAAATGTCTTATTAATCGAGGAGTATCGCTGGAGGTTAAGAAAAAAAAATAACGGAATTTTTTTTAAGTATTGGCACCCCACCTTAGTGTAAACTCCCCTCTAAAAAACAAAATTTGTTATTGTTCATATGCTGATACTTTTAATGAAAACTACTTGTGGGAACTTTGAAAGAAAATAATTAACTCACTAAACAAGAAATCCTGCAGGTATGTGAAACTTGACGTGACGACAATTGACTTGATTAACCGTCGTTGTTATTGTTACTCTTATAGAAGCGTAGTTGTTGGTGGTCACGGTAGTAGCTAGGTCAGATAAACTTCTTGACGCGACGTCGAAAACTTTACGTAACGGTATTTAAAAAAAATGTACTATTGATAGTAAGAAACCCAACACAACTTGACCATGTGACCCATCTCGTTATTAATGAGCTGGTCACATTGGTGACTATATAATGTGGGCACGTGCACTATAAATTTGAAAGTCATCACCCTTATATGGTCATGTGTACACGGAATCTTTATATATATATAAAAATTTAAAAGAAAATAGGTGAAGGGCCCTCCGGGGTCTGGTGTCCTGTCTTAGTTTACTTGTGTCGTATATCACATGGTAAATATGCCTGTGCCCACGTTTTTCTGTATGATGGCAGTAAGCGTAAGTAAAAATAAACTTGTGTCTTTATCAAAAAAAGGGTTTCTTGTACTTTTTGTGGCGTTATCTTTTTCACCAGAGTGAAGTCCCGGACCCATTTTCCATATTAATTGTCGAGGTGTCCCTTTGTTTGTTTTTTTAACCATATACTGGTTTTAATTTTGAAAACAAGAACAGTTCTGAAACACTTAGCTGTTTTCTATATTTACATAGAAATCCCGTATTCGACTGCTATTTAGTTTGTTTTATCTTTGTCTTATCAACTGAACCCGTTCTAATTTTTTAAAATTAATTTTTATTGATTTTTCGAAGTTTCATCAGGACCTTTAATAATGGCAGTCTTTAACTGACATGGCCGCCCTGTCGAAATAAAACAGAATTGAATTCCCCCAAAAAGAAATATTGAGAGGGAACCCACAATCACACCATGATGCTGCCGTTGAACAGCCGCTTTTGAAAATGAGAAATGATTAAAGAAAGTATGAGCCCCAAGCTGGGCCAAAAGGGGACGTATCGGACGCAATTGTCTTAGAAACGCAGGTCCTTTTGTAGAATTCCGCTGGTTCACGAACGACTAGGAAATGCACGAATTACGGTCACATGGCTACCAACAAAAATGAACACTCAAGACCAAGGGTGGCCGCTACTTTCAATAGATGAGGGGAATCTTCAAGCTTGTTCTCCACCATCAAGTGATTGGCATTCCTGCACCCCGCCTTTAACACCGGCTACAGTTTGCTCTCGATACAAAAATCCTCACACATATTTGATATTTTCAAAATCTACTTGTTCTTCTCTCTCTTTTTGTTTGTACCGTGGCACTGAACGTGACGTCACCGTTGAGGAACGTCCAAAATTTGTTGGTGCTGGGTCGAGTGGAATTCAGTGTACCTCAGACGCGGAGCTGTGCTATTTTTTGAGCTGAATTATGAGTTGCATTATTGAAAAGAGAATTATTCGAATTGCACGATTACCGGTATGTGTTTTCGGCTTCACGTCCACAAGTTATACTTCGCAGTAATTGGAAGGCACATAATTTTGAAGGTGATCGACTTCATTTATGTTCCTAGAATCGTCTTTAACCTTAGATATTTTAACGATGGTTTCTAGGGTTTCCAAATATGTGCTTAAATTTATAAACCTTCCGGGCTTGTTCTAAGTTTTGAACCATGGGGAATCTTCACAGAGAACGTTGAAATAAAGAGGCCGATGTCGTGAATTATAACTGTCGTCTTTATATAGATTTTACACCTTGACAGTATCTGGGAAAAACGAAGTCGGTTCTCTTCGGTTACGACTTTTAGGATAAAAAAGTGATCCTCGAAACCAACCGTTCACTTACATGTCAGAAGTGTTAATGAACCGGCCATTTTCCTCCGTAAAGAGTCACAGGTTTTTTTACTTCCACCAGAAATTTCTTCTGAATGTTAATTCCTTAAGTCTGACAAGATACGTTTAGCTGGAGTAAAAAAGAACTTCACTTGATAATCAGCTTTAACATGACCCTTGCTCATGTGGGAACTCTTTGGAAAGGAGTTTGTGTAAATGACAACCTCCATCCAATGTGACCCTATGTTGAATTTCGAAGTAAAACAAAATCAAACAATTTAGATGCTCGTCCCATAAAAATTGAATGTGAATAGACGACCGACATTTTTTTCCCTTTACGCCATGCTTACAAGGGTGAAGGTTTCAAAAGATTGCTCGAGTTTTAAAACAACATTTGACAATTTCTAATTTGGTTTTTTGTTTGTTTGTTTGTTTTTAGTTTGGAATGTGCATCCATATTCCTCAAGCCCCCTTCCCCGAGCTTGGTGGCACAAACATTTTTTTCTGCACGGATTTGTGATATGGAGAGGCTGGGTTCTGTTTCTGGGCTTTGCTGAGAGCGCCTCCATGCGGCGTTTATTGGTCTCACGTGGATTATTTTTGACAGCGTAGCAGGTCGCACAGTACATAAATGAACACGTCATACGCGAGGGAAAATGGCGATCGAAGTCTCTAGAATGTCCCAGCCACAGCGATTTCTTGCCTTGTTTTTGACTCTCGTTTTGGTTGTCTGCACAACATGGGCCTCCGACAGTAAACCCAAAAGTAAGTCAAATGCTTCCTTTCTGTTGACGAGTAGCTATTTTGTTCTGAAGTGGGCAATATATTATTATTACCACACGACGATTTATTTTTTGGAGCGTGGCGGACGGAAGGCCCCTGGGCTTGCTGTTGAACTTTGAAGAAAGTTTTCAGGAAGGGTTACACAAATAAGAAATCCTACATTAAAAGGTTTGCTTGTGAAATAATGGGTAAATTAAATATGAATAGGTTCTTAGTGTCACTGATGAGTTTTTGAGGCGTGCATTTAGTTTCATGTGTGGTTTTTTTGGTGAACTGTTTTAGTCGAACGCTGTGGCCATGGTGGCGGTTCACTTAAAAATCGGGGGCCGACATGGCTACTGAACATGCAGTCATGGGCGCATAAACAAAACTTGTGGTTTTACATTCTTTTGTTAGAGACTAGGTACCCAAGCTCCTTGTTTATTTAGACATATTAGATTGTTGTTTTCTTTACACGCTGACTTGCCTCAAAGTATGGTCTATTGTTGACAGTGATTGTTAAGGTTGACACCTGTGAATTTTTCGTGTTTGTCTTACCTCAACAAAGAGGTCAAGATTGAGGTCATGCTGTGCACTGTCGCGCCTGTTGACGTGTTCGTCGTCTAGTTTCACAGCCAGGCAATTGTAGAGTTCGTGACCTTAATGTGTGGACGTGTAACAATGAGGAAGATTTCACTCATTTGATTTGAACATGCACACGAAAATGAGCCACAGATGTCCCTTTTTGTAAGAATTCTTAATTTTGTGGGGAAAATTCTGCAACTTCTTGAGACATCCCACAGACTTTGTAAAATTGTATGGAACCAACAACATGCCTGTATATGTACATGTTGTACATGTACAGTGTAGGAGAAGCTGAATGATGGGTCTGTGTGTTCTCTCCTGGGTAATTCCAGAAATTAGGGGTCCAAAAGTGGGACATTTTCATGTCCCTGTTACTTCTGACCTTTGTTAGTTGACATAGAAATATCACAGAAATTGTTTTCAAGCTATTATTTTTTGTTTGGCATTTAATTTGCATTAATTCATCACTCTTGGAAATATGTGATCTGAACTTATAAAATCACATGTCAGAAGTAACAGGGACATGAAAAAAATTGGACCCGTAATTTCTGGAATTACCCTCCTGGCCGCCTTCCTCCATCGTACATGTCCATAATTGAATCCACTGACCCCATCTTTTCAAAATTAATTCTGCCATTGAGCCATTGGAGGCAGTGTACATGTATTTGACTGTGAACTGGTGCTAATGTATGTGTTTGTATCAGTGCAGAAACCGTACAGACGCTTTTGCCTGAGGTGTGTTTAATTAAGGACTTCAAAATTTTAGAGTGAGAAATCTTTGTCTGGCTGCATGCATCTGTTGTCATTGTGAACTTGGATGAATTCACGAGATGGAATTCAGACCTTTGCAATGCAGACTTTACAAAAATCATTTAAAACTGCTGATCACATAAAGAAAGGAGAAATGTCCTGCAACTCAAGATTACATTTAGATTAAATACAATAAAAGATGACAATGTGACATTTTTATTTCCCATGAACATGATACCTAACGAGAAAGATCTATTCCTTTGATATCGATAATGTACATCAAAGTACAGCTTTCTTTCCAAGTTCTGTAACTAGTTGATGACAGAAACTTCAAACATTTTTTATTAGACCAAAATTACACAAAGACATATGATACATGTACTTAGGCAGTGTTCATTGTAATTGGCTGAGTATTTTTCTTAAAAGTTTAATTTTTACACGTGTATTTTCTACAGAAATTGAGATGGTCTGGTTTGTTAAAGCAACATTGTCAGAATGAACCTGTGCAAAACTGTTAGTAAGTGCTTAAATTGGAAAAGCTTGCCTGGTTTACACAGATGGAGAAGAGAAAACTATAGAATTTGGAGTCTGACGTGCACTGCGATTATAATTGAAAATCAAGACAACTAGTCAAGGTCATAGGCTAAAGGTTACAGTGAGCACTGCCTACGCTGATGCGATTTACAAAATGAAATTAAAACAGTCATCAAACCTTGGAAATTTCTCAAATAATTCCTACGACAGCACTGCTAAAACTTTGGGAACTTCTGTAGTGTATGTGACACGTGCAAATTATCAAATTGCATAGTAGGCACCGTCGATTCGTGTTTTGGCTGATACCAATATATCGGTTTTTTAATATTGATATTATCAATACATTAAATTTTATTCATTTTAATTTTCAAGGTATTATAACAGGCGTGAATTGCTGGTAAATTGTTCTAAGGGTACACCCCTATACCATAATGGTGTGATCCAATGCACTTTGGTGACATGTTTGAGTGTCCGTATTGTGTATGTTGCCTACGTGGGATATCAGCTAGTCTGCAGTTAAGGCCAGAATAAATGTTCACACGATACACGATTTTGCGTGTGTGTGCACGTACCGGGAGTTGAGGGCACGCTTTCAGCTTGTGAGTGACAACGCAATAACGCAGCTGCGGTTATCCCGATGGACCGTTACCAATTTAAGTCAATTAAAGTCCATCACAATCCCCGGGAGCCTGGCCCAACATGATACACAAACAAGCATTTCGCAAAGCTGTGTCAAATTCACTTATTTATCGTCCCAATTTTAGCGCAATACATTGGAAAAAACATCCTGCCTAACAATGCTTTGGTGTCCTGTGTGATCTGTAAAATGGTCAGTAATCGAATCATAAATAATAACTCGAACAGAATCGTTTGTAGTGCCAAGCGGCAAGATGAACCCTGACACATTTGATAACGCTTTTTGCGTTGGAAGTCTCCACTTAACGAAACTCTGTAAAACAAATATTCAATCCCCAAATATATTGTAAACGTAAACATTCTGAAATAATTGTTTTACTTATGTTCATAATTATGCAAACAGAGTTTTAGCAGAAAGCAAGGCTGTAATTTCATAAGGGTCCGGCCGTGGCGCTTCTTTCCAAACTCTGATCTTCCTAGCGGATGCAGTGTCGCGCTGCGCAAAAATCCAGGCTGCAGCTCTTTAAACTGCCTATTGTGCCCAACACTACTGTTATATAAATTGGGCACTCCATTCCTAATCCACAGGGCCCGCCGCAACCCACTGAGTAGATTTAAGGTGGTCCTGCATTGGAGAGCAGAGAAAGTTTAAAATAAATGGAAGATCACTTTAAACCACAAGCCATTCAACACGGACCCCTTTAGAGAGCTTCATATATGGCTATATATGTGACTCTAAAAGTCTTTTTGATTAAACAGACATTAGATACAAATGTTTTTTTGACCGTTGAGTATGAAGAAACGTTTTGGAATTACATGTAGACGAGGCAAGTGACCTATCGTCAAGGGGGCTTCCGTGATTTTGTACAAATCGTTCAAAAATGTCAAAGTGGGAATCGGAAATCCAGTCTAAATGTCTTTTTCTAGAAATTTTCCGATGACAAATTTTGTAAAAGAAGCTTACATTTCACCTCTCCAAGAGAACTTGTCCTTGAATGCAGAATCCAACCTGCCAAAAATATTACTCTTTCCCATCTCAGCATTTCTTTATCCAAACATGGATCACGTTTGGTTTTCATTTTTCTGTGCTCCTCTGCTAATTTTTTTTTTATTCTGAGCATTCAACACGCCAACAAACTACCGGGTAATCCTTCCCATCTCAGCATTTTTTCATCCAAACCTAGTGGTTTAATTTTTTCCCAGCCCTGTCGCTATTTTATTCCAAGCATCCAACCTGCCAAAAATTAAACTTACCATCTCGGCATTATTTTCTTAGTCCAAACCCGGATCACGTGTGTTTTTAATTTTTTTACCTGACCCCGTGTAAGCACTATTAATTCCAAGCATCCAACCTGTCCAAAATATAATCCTCCCCATCTTGGCATTCTTTATCCAAACCTGCACCATGTGGTTTTCATTTTTCCCTGCCCCATCGCTGTTTTTTGCAAGCATCCAACCCGCCAGAAAATATAGTCCTCCCATCTCGGCATTATTTTCATTATCCAAGCCTGGACCACGTGTGGTTTTTATTTTTTCCCTGACTGTGCGTAATCAATTATTTTTATTCTGAGCATCCAACTCATCAATATGTTAATCCCTCCCACATAGCAAATTTTTTTTTCCAAACGTGGTGGTTTAATTTTTTCTCGGCCCCATTGCTACATGTACGTACGTTTGGCTAGCAAGTAATTCTCTGTTTTGGAGGATACATTTTATGATATTTTCGAGGAAAAGTGCACTCGAATTATTGAGAGCAAGACTGAGCAGGGTGACTGAATTTATATATTTCAAATGTTGCCTTATAAGCCGCCCGGAGTATAAAGTACATGTTCCTGCGACATTTTTCACTCAGCGTGAGAACCAACGTAAGCCGTGGCTTATCGAAAATTACGGTAATGTGACAATGCACTTTCACATTTTTAAATTAAGTTTGCTCTTCAATAGTGGTATTTTCAATATATATTTTTCAATATCGTTTTCAAAGTTTCTATATTTTTGATATTTCTCAAAAATCTGATATTTTCGATACACGATATTACCAAATAACTAACATTGGTTATATTGATGTCAAACGCATATATAATATTAATATATCGACGGTGCTTGTTGCGTAGCCAATCTTTGAAAGCTCCACCAGACTCACACTGTCCAGGTCTCAAAGAACCACTTTTCAACAAGGATTAGCATGAGTGAACCAGGAAAAAACTTCAGATACACAGTCCAGCTTCTTAAAACTGTGAACATTTTTCTTCAAAACCAACCTCTAACCTAACCATGGACTTCCCTGCACCAGAACACGTACATGGACATGTACAGAATGTAAATTTTGCCTTGGCACACTGCTCTGTCTCCAACTTCCATGCAGTTTGTACATATATGTACACAGAAAGTGGGAATTTTAGGTTGATAAAGGTTTCCCCCCAGACAGGGGAAACATTACATGTACTGTACATGTACCCGTACTTGGATTCATGGTTGACATGCTTGACTTCAGACGGGGCCGACTGGATCAGACANTACTAGACAGGAAATCCACCAGCTGGTACGTGGCGGGCGGGGGGGGGGGCATCTGCAGTGTGTCTGTTGCTATTGTCTGTTCATCTTGCTAATGTTTACTAATTTGTCTAAAATCTGGGGCAATTGGCTGGAGCAAAATTTCTATGCTTGTAGTCAGTAAAGAATGAAAATGTTTCGGACTATTAAAAAACAAGTGCATTACCTTAACCCTAACCTTCCCCAACCACACATAATTAAACAGTAGTAAAGTGTTTAATTCTGTGGAAATAGGTCTGGTAGGCCCATAACAGCTGGCTTTTGCATTGGGTTTGGCATACCTCAGAAAAAACAAAGTCCAACAGCCTCTGTGCACAAAGTCCCATATGGGTGTTTAACTTTGTAAGAATGGTGAAAGTTAGGGCCCGCAACCCTTGGGTGGTTAGGGTTAAAACTAATTTGGCTCCAAAATGTTAATCTGGAGTCCAGTACATGTAGGCTACGTGAACATTTTGTTTCCACATTTGTGTCAGTACCCACAAGGAGGCACATTGTCAGTGAGCAAGCCCAGAAGAGGGGGGGGGGAAAGAAGTAAAAAGAAGACGTAAAACTGTACAACCACCAACTCGGTCGTTTCCAAGGGTTTTTTTGGGGCGTACAAATACATGTAGGTTAGCTCCAAACTTTGTTCGATTGCATTTTTAAAGGAGGGGGGTATGGGGACGGTAAGGGGACGAGTTTACATTTTATGTACAAAAGAGCAACTTCTTCCAAACATCAAGTAGATACATGTAAGCTGTGCCCTGCTCGAAGTATGGAGGCTTAGAGGGACCCTGTAAATCAAGCATACCTACATGTACATGTATGGTCAAACATATGGTGCCTTTGCCCTACAAGTCTGGTAGAGGACACTGTGGTCGGATTCTAATGGTGCAATGTAGAATTCCAGTCGGTAGTTACACATGTACATGAACCAACATGTGAAAAGAACAGACATGTCTACATTTAGGTCGTAAAGATGGTGCTTGTATTTTTAGAAAGTAGAGACATTTTGTGTTATTGACATCCTGATTTGGCGGTACCACTACATGTGATGCATACATGTACAGTACATGCATGTTGTCTAGTTGTCTTACATGTGCATGACTTGACTTGAAGGGCCAGTGGACGTCGAGCATGCATTGAATGTTTCTGGGCCTTCCTCTAGCATTCCATGTGATTTCTTTAAAGAGGCTTTGGAAATAAGTGTTCTGTCACATGGACAGAGCAACGTTTTCATCCTTGAATTCTACATGATTTAGTTTGGCCCAAGCAATTGGATCTACAACCAAGAAAGCAACAAAGCCTTCTTAGTGTGTGTTTTGGGAATTTAACTGTTTAAAGTTGAGAGCTTTGCCTAACCCAGAAATCTCATTAAAAGGCAACCAGTGACTTACAAAGATTTGTGAAAGTATCATGGATTGATAAATTTTATTTCATAAGGAAAACTTAGTTTCAACTTCCCAAATACCAGTTGTTTTAATAGAAGCAATAACCAACCCCATGGAAAGAACCAGCTCTACATGCATTGTTTCTCCATGCTCTGACTTCCTTGTTTTAAAATACACTGTACATATGAAGATGTGAATGTTCATGCTATTAAAGAACAGGAAATATTTAGTATGCTCATGTGAAATAAACCCTGGCACTCTCATTGCATTGTGGGATTGAATGAAAAACAACTATTAACATGTATGCATTGTAAATCTATTGCATGAAGTAAACTTGTCACATATTGATTAATTTCTCTCTGTAAATTTGTCTTATGTACGTACATGTACCTGTTCATCAAGTCAGGCAAGTCACAGATGGATACATAAGAGATAATTTGTACAGGAAAGAATGGAAAGCCTGTAAGCAGACAAATACGTCCCATGGACATGACACCGTACATGTAGATAATTTTTGTTTAAAGCACTGGTCACTAGGTTGAAAAAAGAATGTGATTGGTTGTATATGATGAGCGAGCTTCTACTCCTGATTATGATTGGACAATAGGAGTTCGTTGACATTCAGAGTCATACGGTAGTCTAAGACAGAAACAAATATTAACAGATTTTTTTGGTACACTTCATTGCAATTCTCTGATGTAGCACTGTGTATAAACACGATGACTTGATATGAAGGATTCCCCAAATTGTCAGTAAGATAAAGACTGTAACTGTTTTGATGACGACACGTTTTCTGCAAGCTTGTGCATAAAATACGATTGCTTGCTTGTCATTCAATCCCATGATGCAGTGGGAATTTCAAACAGTTTCAATACACGTTTAAATGAGAGCATATCCAAAATCAGCCTTTCCACAGTTCTTCTATCCACGTTTCACAGATGAGACCAAATTGCTTGTTGTTACCGTGGCAACGAATGAAACAGATGGCTTCAGAAGATACATGAGGTCAGCCAAAAAATATGGGTACGATGTGAAGGTAGGTGTGACACAGGTGACAACTTGACCAACAAACATACAAACAGACAGATCAACAAACAGTACTTATTTATTGCAGTTGTTCCTGTTACCTGAAATAAGACAATGTCTAGAATAATTTGCCATATTTTTGAGAGTACCCCTCTTGTATTCACCTTCTCCAATTCAAAGTTATCACCCTAAACTGTGATCTGTCGCCACTGTGTTTAACACAACAGCTCTGGAAAGTTTCACACAGGTAATGAGTGTTACTAGGGATACTATTGTAACCGTTGACCCAGAATTGGACAGTATCCCATTTTACACCTTGTTGAATCCGAGCTTTTTCTCAGTTTTGATTGGTTGCTTTCAGGTTGTGGGCATGCATCAACCCTGGAAGGGTGGAGACATTCTGAACCACCCGGGGGGCGGACATAAAATCAATCTCCTCAAAGAAGCCTTGAAAGAGTACAAGGATATGAAGAACCTTATTATCTTGTATACAGACAGGTACATACAGTCTCCTGACGATTGACCAAGCACGCAGTCCCAAACGTTGAGTGTACTCCCGGTTCTTTTCAGAACCGCACATAGTCATAAGAGATATATTCCTCCACTTGGTGCTACTGCAAACCTTTTCACGTATTGCTGTCTTTCACCACGAATAGCCTGAAATTCCATCAAACAAAGCATACATTTTGGTTATTCCCAAAAGTTACAAGCCTTTGTTCACCTTTTAGTTAGTTGTGGGCTACAAGTTAAGAAAGCTCAAAGAAATGATACCGATTTTATTTTCTTTCATAGAGATGTAACATGTACCTAGATGCAGGGTTGTAGTTAAAAACCTTTCCAGAAATTTGAGTATTGTGAGAAGTGAAACAAAGAACTCTGAGTACCGTTTGAGTAAGGACTGTGTTCAGTACATCGGAGTTGAAAGTAACCTCGGGAATGGGAAATTTTTCGTTTTCATATCTCAAAAGATGGAAATTTCCTGTACTGGGTGAACAGTTTCACACCTTTTCAAATGAGTTGAAAATATTTTTGTGCCTTTTGAAAAGCAAATGGAAATGAACGTAAATTCTTCTAAAAAAATTCCCCATTCCCGTTCCCTGTTTTAACTTGCTATTTCAGTGCACTGCACATGCTGTGTAGTCCTGCATTTGTCCATGAGTATGAGTAGGAGAAAAGTACTCATCCTTGCACGAGTTTGAGTGTTCCATCGCTGAGTATTTGAATACCACCCAAATGCTCTCCCTCACCATTTCTAAGCCCTGTGATCCGTGATCAGGCATACTTTCCCTGCCACCTGTTTCTTTGCCAAAGGAAGATTGGAGTATACATGTAAACGCAGTATGTTCTAGGAATCTCTTCTTTCTTCGCAGCTATGATGTCATTTTTACAGCCAGACAAGAAGACCTACTTCATCATTTCCTAGGGCTCAACAAGAATTTGGTCTTTTCAGCGGAGCCTTTTCTATGGCCGGACAAATCTCTTGCTGTAAGACTTGTTATACTCTCTCTCAGAAACAATTCCCCGAACATTGAAGGACCAAAAACTTTATTCACTCACAGGGCATTTTATCAAGGAACCTTCTTCTGTACTCCTAAATCCTCCAATCTGCTAGAAAAAACGACAGATTCTTTCTGCATACGCTTCTTTAAAAAGCGTCATACCCCAGAAGAGAAATAGTGGAGGCCGGCTTCGACGTTCCGCTACACCCCAAAGTCCTCTTTGCATGTTTAACTCTATCAAAACAAGGAAAGTGTCCGTAGTCCATGCAGGCCTATGTCGTCCATTATAGGGTTGCAAAAAAAATGCTGCAAAGAGCTAAAACTTCTGTATTGCGTTTCTCATTTTGCTTTCTTCATCTCCTGCAGTCCAAGTACCCCGTAATGGAGAAAGGTTACCCCTTCCTGTGTTCAGGGATGTACATGGGGTATGCACCGTACATTTGGAAGGCTCTGACGTGGAGTGCTGTAACAGATGACGGGGATGATCAGCTTTTCTTCACACATCTCTACTTGAATCAAGTCAAGAGAGTGAGTATGGGCGAGTCAGTGATGCACATTTTGGCTTTGACCTACCCTGTAGGTTTTCTGTGGGTTCCATGTGCAGTGCGACAAAATGCAACGTAACTGGAGTAAGAACCCTGTTGAATGCAACATTATCCGAAACAGCTGAGATGACCACCCTGTTGAATGCAACAAATTGCAACACAACTGAAATGACGGCACTGTGCAGCCAAATACAACACAATGCAACAGTGGATTTTGTTGCACTGTGCAGTACAGAGGACGAACCCCAGCCTTGGCGTAATTACCTAGTGTGCCTGCCACTTGTGCCATCTTCCAAAATTGAGAGTGTGCAACAACTTTCTGCCATTGTTGCACTTTTGTTGCATTTGTCATTTCTTCAATTTATAATATGCAAACAAGTGTACCACCAAGTACACGCCTCACAGATGTCACCTTCCATCTTCAACTTCCTTGTGTTCTTGGGCAGTGCAGTATTACCCAAAAATGAAATGCTTCCAAAAGCCTTTTTAGTCAAACCAACATTTGCAAAAAAATATCCCGGAGTAAACCGTGCATGTCCCCATAAAATGAAACCTGCTGACTTTGAACAAATTTGCCTAGCAATTTTTGCGTATGGAGGGTGACTGTCGCCCATGACACGCAGCGGTTAAAGCACAATTCTCCCAACAAATAAAATTGTGTTTCGTGAATTATTCGCATGTGTCTGTTTTAAGCTACGTCTCTGTGAATGGAAAAGATCACTCTTCCTTCTTTCCTTCTCTGTGCTCAGAAAAATTGGCGGATCGCACTGGACAGTCAAGCGGTTCTTTTTCAGAATATGAACGGAGCTCAAGGTAATTGCTCTCAATGTTCACTTTAGTTCAAGTCCTGAGTGTCAGTTGCAGCCCAAGGGCCAAAACATCGATGTCACCCCACTGAAATGTCTCTCAAGGTGCCTGTCTGTAATGTACGTGTTTTGGTCCATTAGGTCTAATTGCATCTAATTGCGGCATTGCACTATTGAACAGTTTCAGTGAACACTCTCGGCAGAGCTGCACTGAAAACACGTTACAGAAAGGCACCTGCATGCCATGAACCGTGGCCAGAGTACGCAAGACAAGATGTGGACTTCACTTGAGATGCCATTCAAGATCATTACGAAGTTTCAAGTCAGATGTCTGTTTTAAAATGTTTAGGGGTTAATTAAGCGTTGGTTGAAGACAGTTGTCCCAGTTGTCATTCCGCAGTCTTTTAGCACCACTCAGCAGTGTTGTAACGAGTCACTAAATTTGGTGACTCGAGTCGAGTCATTTGATTATTTTGACTGGAGTCAAGTCAAGTCATTAAGTCAAGAAGGCGAGTCACCAAATATTGTGACTCGAGTCGGACTCGCGCTGAGTCATGACTCAAGTCATTACCTACTCTTTGTTTACCAGTGTGCTTTCCTATTGTGTTCAGTGGATTGTGGGCCCCCATTGGCTCCATTGGAAAGTACACCTGTAGAAAGAGTCGCTTGTTGTCTGTACATAAGATAGGCCTGTTGTCATTGTGACTAATGCCAAATGCACAGTGTGTTGGAATAGCACTTGTGGCATTTTTCAGACCAGTTGTGTCATCTTTTGTGACCTTGTGTCTTCCAGGTGACGTTCTGATACGTTTCCGAAACAACAACAGCGTCATTTTCAACCGTGAGTTTGAGACTTTCCCAATGGTCCTGCACGGGAATGGCAAATCAAAGGTAGGCAAGTGAGACATGGTGAGCGACAAAACTAGGCTTGGTGTGGGGTCAACCCAGCCTGCTGAAATATTCTCTGAGGGTTCTTCAGAGCAATTACACCCATTCTCAGTTACTGTCTTCCCTAGGGCGGGACAAATTCTTCCAAGAGGATGAAAAGGGGAAGAGGGAGAATCCTTAATCCTTTCCCCTGTGTCTTTTAGGGCGAATCCCGAGAACCAATGTGTAGCATGCTGCGATTTTGATTCAGGACAGAACACTGTCAGTTTAACAAGAAGCATGTCAAAAATGTGAAATCCTTGCACACCTAGTGTGGACCCATGGACAAAGGAGGTCCACACAATGGAGGCTGTGCGAACCTTGCGTGGACTAAGCCAAGTCCACACAAGATATACTCCTTTCTTGACACGGTCTCAGATGTAGTTTGGGGTTGAGTTATTTGCCACAGAAGGGGGGGGAGCCGTCCAGGTTTTCATAAAAATATCGCTTCAAACAACCTTTACAGTTGAAGAAAATTCAAGAAAAGTTCAAGAAAACACAAAACAGTGCACACACTAAGTATGGAAGGTAAATGAGTTTGTTTCTGCATTCAATTGGGGAC